ATAAGCCCTTGTAAGCTCTATTATACCTGTTTTTAACATTAAATAGGCAAACATACTTGGTACAGCATACGACCAACATATATTCCTGTGATTTAATGCATGAATTGTTGTTTCACCTTGATCTAAACATGTCTAATTACTTTAAATAAATTATTGGAGACGTTTGGGACTTAGAACTGAAGCTTAAGACCTTTAACAATAGAGTCCAGCTTAGTTATAGAGGCTGGAAAATGAAGCAGAAGACTCGTGGTAGGGATGAGTTGACTCAAGTGAAAAGGAGTCGGCTCAGTTGCTAAAGGAGTCGACTCATTCAAGAATGAGCCGACTCAGTTTAGCCTAGGACTGGGATTTGTGTTTTGGGTTTTCAGATGAGGTTTTGGCCTATTTTAATGAATTTAAATTATTTATATGAACTTGGTAAAATCACAGAATGCATAATATACACTAATATATTATGATTTAAGACATAACAAATTTTAAATGACTTATAAGTTGTTTACATGATGTTTATTATTGCTTATATTGTATTAACAATTACAATTGATCTATTTATGATTATAATCATGTTGTGGCTGTATTATATGATATATATATATATATATATATATATATTTAATCTATTACCTGTTTGATTGTTTAAGGACCATTGTCAACATATGGTTCCATTATACACCATTGTCAAGATATGGTTGTATATTAAGGGTGAGCTAGCATTCCATTGTTAGGATATGGATGATGTGCCATTGTCAGAATATGACTTTTATTTATTATATGTAACCGTGCTATTGTATAGATATGGTTTCGGTATTTTATATGGCATTGTTAGGATATGACTTTATATATATTTATGTACCATGATACGAGCTTAAGATCTCGGGATCGATGGTTAGGAGGCGTATATCGCTCTGGGATAGCTAGATATAGAGGATGTGTGTGCCCTGGTAGATGATGGTACTCATGACTACCTTGTGTGCGGTTTGCATGATGCCTACTATCCAGTTAAGTCTACCCTATAATCTAGTGAGAGTATTTCATGCGTGTATATATATACCGACTACGTTGCTATTGCATGAGTTTGACTAGGATATATTCGTTTATCGGGTCTCTATTTGGGATCTAGTAGAAATGACTTTTCATGGGCCTAACCCACTATTTATTTTTCAGGTCATCATCAATACCAGGTGTAAATCTTATTCGTGCAGAGCAGAAACCAGTTATCATCACTCTTCCAGTCATTTACATAGGATTCTATCTTTTATTTTCAGCATTCAGACTTAGACAATTATTATTGTTATTTCAGTTAGGATTTTATTAGGGGTCCACATGGTATAGATTCCTGAGTTGTATTTTGGAGGATTATTGGTATCAGAGAGATTTATTATTTATTGAAGTTTATTATGAGGATTTAATTATTAGATTATAATTTTAGTTTTCTTTTCAGCTTTTTTATTTATTCTTTATTTATGCTTTTGTATTATGTGTTCATTTTAAATACCTAATTGTTTTGATATTCTCCGGTTTTGTGCCCGGACCTAATCAACCCTTATTCTAAAATTGGGGGGTATCACAGTTCTCATCTAATGGAGGTTCCCACAAGCTATGCTTCCAAGGTCTTCATGGACGTTATATAAGTTATTCCTAGCAAGACTACCATGGTGATTATGGTGACCTAATAAGGAAGAAGGAGCTGAAGGGATCTTCATAAGGGAGAACATTCCTTTTGTGGATGGATTTGATGTTTTCATAAATCTCTAATTAAGTTTACTAAATCAAATGAATATATCATCATTTTCTTTTTGCATTAAAGTAGCTTCTAGAGATGGATCAAGATCATTTGATGAAAAGCCCTCTTCTAATTTATGAAAATATCCATTTCCCTAACAGTGTTCACATAAAGAAAAGGTTCTCTTGACTGTTTTCGGGAAGAGTAGTTGTCATTATCCCTACCACTTATAGTTTATCCAAACCTCTGAACTTCCATGTCTTTCCAACTTCCTATCAGATTCAAATTTCCCTATCACCTTCTATTATTATACAGCCTCTCTCACTCCTTTCATTACCATATATCCAATAGTGTTTGGCTTGCTAAAGGAAAAGAAATAACTTAAGTTGTACTTCTTCTTTTTTCTTGTTTTTTTATCATCGAAATACCAATTCAGTGATGCCTATGGATTTACAATTCGTCATCTTGATTCTGTTTAATTAGAATGAACTTACTATTATCGTGAACAAAAAACTTACTTCCTCCGTCCAATATAAGTAGTCTATCTTTCTTTTTTTAGTTGTCTTGCAATAGTTGTCCTATTTCAAAAATCAATATACTATGTTTTGTAACATTCCCAATTTTTTTAACAAAGTTAGTAATTTTGGCCAAATAGGGATAAAAAAGTCTTTCAGCATCCCAATTTATCGAAAGGATAAACATCATTATGGACCCCACTAATTCAAAACAAAAGGTAAATTTAAAAATTTATTCATTCCAATGCAATAAAAAATGGTAAATTGCACTGACGTCCCTAAGGTTTTGGTCAACGCCACTCAGTAGAGAATCAATGGCTTTTCTTACATTGACACCCCCTGAGGTTTCAAAAATATGCATTAACACCTCCTCCAGACCTCTAAGACCATATAAAATTACCTTTTAACTCTTTAACTTGTCAACAACTCTATTTAAATCATGAAATTACAAATTTAACATCCTAACTAATTTTTATTGTCCAAGCTAACCTCTTCATCTCTTCTATACATATAGATATAGTTTATATATAACAATACTTATACCACCATAACCACCACCACAACATAAAAAGAAAAAAGAATTTTTTAAATTTTTTTTTTTTTGAAATAGCCAGATAACTGTACACCACCATAATCACATCCAAACATCACCATAACCACCACAACATACCCAAACACCACCACACTAAGGCAACACCACCAACACACCTAGACGCTACCAGAACCACCACCACCTAGACCTGTAAACGGATCATATTTAGATCGGATCAAGCCTGATCCGATCCGAATCCAATAAGAATTTTAGTCGATCCGATCTGATAATCCGACAGATATTTTGTAAGTCGATCCAAATCCAATTTGTTAATAAACGGATATTCGATCCGATAATCCGACCCGATCCGATAAAAATGTAAATTTTTTTTTTATAAATAAAAAAATAAAAAAGAAAAAAGAAAAAGAAATATAAATTAATGTCAAAAGAAATTTAAAAAAATAATGATTATAAGAAAAAGATATAAAATAAAAGATAAGTAAAATATGAAAGGAAAGAAAAGAAAAAATTATTTACTCTTTGTTAATGAATAAAGAGTGATATTATTCGTATATATATTAGAATATTTATTAGTATGTGGATGAGAACATCACACTATTGTACATATAATATTATATATATACATATATATATATATATATATATATATATATATATATATTTGGTTTTTTGCGTTACCTTGAGATATATATATATATAATTATGTTCGGATCGGATCAGCATAATCCATATCTGATTTGTTAGGCTAACGGATTATCGGATTCGGATCGTAATTGGGTTAGCGAATTTTTTGTTCAATCCATATCCAACTAATCGGATAGGATTTGGATCGGATCCGGATCAGGATCTGCTCAATTGACAGGTCTACTACCACCACCACAATAGAAAAAGTAAAAATTTAACTTTTGAAACACCCTGATAACCTACACACGTACCACCACAAACACACCCAAACAACACAACAACAACCACCACCACCACCAAAGTAGAAAAAAAAAGTAAAAACAGCCACGGCAATCCTAGACCCACCACAATAGGACCAAAAAAAAAAAAAAAAAGTAGACATGTCCAACCCAGACAACCCCACCACCACCAGGCACAGCCACAAGAGAACGGAAAAAAAATTAAAAACAACGATGGCTGTTTTTATCTCACCATTCCCACCAATTCTCTTTTCTACTGGCACATCCACTTTCATTCCCTTTCTCATCTCAATCACAAATCCAACACCGCCACAACCACTAAACCGCAACATTTTTCCCCAAAATTCTACAAATTAACTTGCCCTAGCCGCCATCTCCTTCACCGCTAGTTATGTTTCCCTCCATCGACCACCAGTAAGAATGAGGAGAATAAAATAAACATAGTAAGAATGAGGAGAATGAGAGAGAGGAAATGTCGGCGGCTAGATACTAAAATGAACCAAAAAAACAAAAAAAAAAAGTTAGAGATTATGATAGAGAAAAAGACTTAATGATGAGGGTAATTTTGTCAATTAACAGGGCTGATATTTTGTAAATTAATTGAATTAAATAATTAGGGGCAAATATGACATTTGAAACCATACGAGTGTCATTGCTAAAAAAATGGTTGATCCGCATCTGAGTGACATTGACAGTAACCTCAGGGGGTGTCAATGCAATTTACCCATAAAAAAGTATTAAAGGTCAAATCCCTTTAAAAGTTAGAATTTCAAAAGTGAACATCTAAAGTGGTGGGACTGAAGAAGTATTATCTAACACAAACTTACCATGAACTTAATTATGGAAAAGCAGTGAGAATAATGCTAAAAGGCAATTTATTCCGACTTGGATCCTCCAAGCGAGCTGGAGAGGGTTATGTACTCCATCACGGGTGGAGATTGGACCAGCAGTTGCGGATACTTACTCAACTTGTAGGGTAAACTCAGGAAGCTCATCAAGAGACTTTAAATGCAGGAGAATGCAATAACCACTATGTGAAAGCCTATGTGTTATGTAAGACCAAGTGATCCTTGTAATTGGTATACAAGCATCTCTTGTCAACAAGTCTAGAGATCCAATGCTTTTGAAATCCCACTTTTGCATTGTTTGGGGTTGTTAGGCACATTGATCTATCTCATCAACATTAGACTACTGGACGAAATCTGACCACTAAGGAATTCAATCCAAGTTATTGAGGGAAAAAAATTAATGAAAGAAGGATTGGAAAAAAAGAAACGAAGACTTCCTTGCTTGATATCCCTTATTGAGAAGGGTGGTATTATATAAATTCTGAAGAAAACTAACTTTTTGGTCTTGTGGGGATTACAGACAGATTCTCTAAATTCCATCCCTTCCAAACAAAACCCAAAAACCAAATGTACCAAAAAAATCAACGAGAATTTGCAAAACAAATATCAATATGTCAAGTCCCACTCCTTTTTTTTATTTACACAACCAATCAAGAATTCCCTTCCAACTCATTTATACTAATTGACTTTTATCAATGATCGTAGCATTTTCAAGTAGTCTTCAGCTTCACCTCAAGATGCAGCCCTCCTCTGTAACTCCCAAACAATCTTTCTACATATAACTCAAACCATCAAAAATTTCTAATATGTATCTTAATCACAATCTAGACCACAAACTTCTAATACAATACCACCTCTTGACAAGAATGGGTTGATTCGAACCCATAAAAGTGAGAAAATTGAAGCCAGAAGAATTGACCATACCACAATTATGGTAGGAACACTATCCTGTTTCCCCATTAGTCCTTTCAGGAAGGGATAAAGATGGACGATGACCCAGAAAGCGAAGAATAGCTTGCCAAATAGTGGGCCCCATGTTTCGTATCCGTTATTGATGGCATCTGATACACCAACCATGACCCCAATTATGTTTATAATCAACAGAGTCATGGGAGGGATTAGCAAAGACGTCCACTTAAAGAGGTACAGCTCGGAAAACTCCCCATCATCTCCTCCTTTGGACGTTACAGTGAAAGCTGTGTTGACTCCTGCCAAAACTTTAAGAAGGCCTTGGAAGAGGGCAAAAAGGTGCGATGAGACACCACCAATCACCCAGAACTGTTCATTTCTCCACCAGTCGTCTATGCCAACACCTCCCCACTGCATCTCCAAGACACTTGTTGCAGCAATTGATATGAAGAGGGCCATGAAGACTATACTGGCATAGTTGCTAATCTGCAAAAAATTTAAGAAACTTATTACCTGAAAACCTTACAAGCCAATGCAAGATTAGATTTTTGAACACATTTTTATCTTTCCGAGAGCCGTTTATGTGTCTACTAATCTATGGGTACAGTCTATCTCCGAGCACCTCTGTAGAGATGGGCCCAAAGCCAGGCCACTGGCAGAGATCTATTTACACCACAGCTACAGCAACAATCATGTTTCCAAGTTTTTAAATCAACAAAGTCTCTTGACGTTTGATACTCAATTTCATAACGGATGGGAGCCATCTGCGCCTAGGCATCCTTTACCCAGTAAAGAAGAGTTTGAACCAATAGGAATTAGGATGCATAATTTTTTTAAATTTCCATTTTATTACACAGCAGTTGAAGTCAAAATGGAAACAAGTTTGATATTTAAGATCCATAAAACAAAATAAATAAATATATAAAAGTTACTCGTATCACTCAAAAATAATAATAATAATGAAAATTCGAAATGTTAATAAAACATCAGATAATTGATGCTTTGTTAATTATTTCAACTCATGAGTAAAAAGGATACTATTCAAAATGCACTGTTTTCATTCTTAAAATGGTCATCATGAGTAAAAAGGATACTATTCAAAATCTGATACAGCTGGGGCTTACCTCGGGGACAATGAACTCCCCAGTAAGGAGACATACAGCTGGCAGGGTACAATAAACAACCAAAGGAAGGGATGTCAATGGATAAACAACTGAGTTTATATACGAAAATCGCTCCAGCGGTTTCAAACCACACCCATATCCATACCATATTGGACAGTGCCTGCTCAAGAAAATCTCAACAGATCCCAAGGCCCACCGGAGAACTTGGTGCAGACGATCCGAAAGATTTATGGGGGCCGATCCCTTAAATGCAGGCCTTTTGGGCATACAGTACACTGATCGCCAGCCATGGCAGTGCATCTTGAACCCAGTTAATATATCCTCAGTAACAGAACCATATATCCATCCGACCTGGAACATAATAGAAATGAAGAGGAGATAAAATTGTATATCCCACTTGAAAGAAAGCTCAAAGACTCTAGAACTTGAAGCATTTAGCAGCATACCTCTTTCCCCCATTCCGTTTTATCTTCGTAACCACAACTGATAACATGAATGGCTTCTTTCAATAGCGATGCAGAAGTTGCTCCCGGTGGAACTCCACCTTCTTCGAGAAGTGTTGAAGCAATGAAAACTGGCGACTGCCCATATTTTTTCTCAAACTTTATCTGGGGCATGAGAGATGACCTTTCATTATCTATTCCTGCAATGCAGATTACTCTTTAGCAAAATATATGGTAACATAACAAAATTTAAGAATGCTTTACCAAAATAAAAACATTTAAGCTAAGAAGCACGGACACGGATACGGGACACGGATACGACACGACACCGACACGGCAAATCCAAAAAAATTAGGACACAGACACGGTGAATAGTATATATATATATATGATGTAGTACTTTAAAAATTACTGAGTGTTACTATTTTTCATCAACCTCACAATGAAAAAAAAACACAAATCATAACTCATAACTAATAAACTATAAAAGAACAATATTGCAGAATTATAAAACTAAATAAAAAATAAGACATTAAAATAATAACTAGTATCATTTGATCATCATTGCAACTTTACTCCAAATACAAAAGCATAGACAGCAAGGACTATTAACATTCACAAAATCCTAAAGGCTAGTCCCCAAAAAAGATACAAAAACAAGTCAGTGTACTATCATCTCTTCCCATCCATCATTTGACCTAGGACTTTTACCATTTACAATACCAAAAGGGTAGTACAAAACAAAAAAAAAAAGAACATATCAGCATTCAAAAAAAAAAAAAAAAAATTTCCATAAGTGTCCATGCCGTGTCCCTGTCCGTGTCCATGTCCGCGGAGTGTCCATGCCGTGTCCGCGGAGTATCTTTGCCGTGTCCGAAAATTCAAAAAAATTAAAAAAGTTCAGACACGTTTTTTGGCGTGTCCGACGCGTGTCCGTGTCGGACACGGATTCTTCGCCCATTTTGGAGTATCCGTGCTTCCTAGCATTTAAGCATGAACAATAAAAACTACAAACCCCGAAAGTGACAAATTTGGGATTTTTTGGTGAAACTAATAGTAGGATGACTATCATAAATAAATCAAGAAATAATTATCATATATTAAGAATCATAAATAAATTTTTTTTTTTTTTTTTTTCCTGGGTTATCATAAGGATATTGCATTTTAGGGGTAAGAAATAAGCATGATTTGTTGGAGGATTTATTCAGGAATTCGGGGGAATATCTCATTCATGAATTACTTGGTATATTTGCAAACTTCATAACATGTTGAAAAATGTAATATTGATAGCCGCTTTAAATTTGCTCCTCACCTTCGATACCTTCCTCAATATTTTCAAGTGCATGTATCTGTGTTGAAGCCTCCCTCCTCTTTGTCGTCTTCTTTTTCTCCTTTGACTTCCCTTTCCTATTTTTATTTCTAGACCCACAAAAGCAGCAGCACCACTTAGGCCAACAATTGCATGTCTTCCCTGGGGGTTTCTTTTTTATGGGGGCATCAAATCCATAGAGTGCTTGCCTCCTGAAGACACATCCAGTTCCAACATAAATCGGTCCTTGGATCCCATCCAGTCCTTTCATATTGATCTGTTTTCAGTTCGGAAAAGAATTTAGTTTTGCTGAAAGAATATTAATAGTATAATATAAAAATCAATATAAAAAAATATGTGTGCCCATTCTTGTATATTATGTATGCATGGATAATATCAAACTGCCAAGAAGTTATATACATACATCAAAGAATACAACATTGCGATTTGAGTATCTATCATGACGGTCAATCCCATCAAACCTTTGGGGAAACTGCACATAGCATATTTTTTTCCCCGAGGTGAGATCCATCATGAAGCACATAGCTTCCCGAAGTGCCTTACTATTGTTTATATAGTGATCACAATCAACATTGAGTAGGTAAGGAGCATTTGAGATGACTGCCGAGACCCGCACCTAGAAACATCAGTCAAAATTATCAAAAAATAGCAAAATTGACTTGACATACATATACATACACACACACACACACACACACACATATGATTGGGGCGTGAGAGTACCAACTAGGAAAATTAAAATAATAATAATAATAATAATAATTTGCAACATTGAGTAGGTAAGGAGCATTTGAGATGACTGCCGAGAACCGCACCTAGAAACATCAGTCAAAATTATCAAAAAATAGCAAAATTGACTTGACATACATATACATACACACACACACACACACACACATATAATTGGGGCGTGAGAGTACCAACTAGGAAAATTAAAATAATAATAATAATAATTTGCGGGGGCGGGGAGGAGGAGAAAGAATGATTTATCAAAAGTTTGGAGAGAGAGCGAAAGCTACCAGAGCATTCATGGCTCCAGCCTTTTTGTGGTGATCAAACCCAAGTCTCTTCTCACGAGAAACATATATGAGACGAGGTAATTCATTTCCTTCAATGTCACGGACACCATTATGACCTAGAAATACCTGTTAAAGGCAGATGCAAAGTTCTATTCGTCAAAATTTTCAATATCTGAACATTAATATGGGTGAGTCCTAAAATATGTCAATCAGCCCAAATATATATTGAAGCACTCAGAGTACGCTCCACACCTGGATCATTCCAGGATGATCCCTGACATTGTTCCCTGGCCATGGAGTCCCATCCTGCATTGTCCAACCTTCCTCAGGAACCTTTTGTGCCATAGCAACTAATCCATTTATCCGCACTTTAAACTCTTCATATTCCCTCTGTAGCAACACCATGACAGCAAATGAATACCACTCATTATAGTAGAGAGATATACATACTAATTTAAAATTATTCTAAAGAATATGAGGTTTTATAATTAATTGAAGATTTATAAAAAAAAAAAAGTTAAAAAAAAAAAAACCAATATATCATCTACTTTGTGTAATACTAAAAAAAATATGATTTCTCCACATGTCAAGTCCATAATTTATTTTTATTGTTAACTGTGCAATTTTTACAACATCGTTAATTTCATGGCAGTTCAAACAACATGCAAAACTGTAGGGCTCAAACAGATATGGTCAAAAAAAGAAAAGACCAAGTTGCAAACCTTCATTGAACGACGATCCCTCACAAACGTCGGATGTACTTTGTCTTTCAGATAGTCAACCTTCTGAGCAAAATACCATTCTGGTGCCCGGGGCTCAATGTTAAACTTCTTGCAGAATGGGACCCACTTCCTTGCAAACTCAGATGTCTCAGAGAGGGCTTCAAAAGTCAGCATGGCAGCACCATCATCTGAGACATAGCATGAAACCTTGTCGACTGGATAATCCACGGCGAGGATCGAGAGGACCGTGTTTGCAGTGATAAGTGGAGGCTCTTTCAAAGGATCAACTGTACTTACAAATATGTCAATGCTAGCCAACTCAGATGACTTCCCTTCTTTCTCATACCTGATAGAATATTATGTGCACTAGCTTTAGAACATATTATCTGTTTCACTGTTTGTATGTGCGTGAGAGAGAGACAACAGAATGACAGACATACACATAGAGGGAGAGGGAGGGGGGGAGGAGCCCATGTACCTCAGTGATAGTCTATCTAGGTATGTTTCTCGCTCAATTGGGAACCATTTAGGAAACTGATCGAAGATCCATGATACAGCAAACCATATTTCACAAACAATTGATGTAAGCCACAATCCATAAGCATCATGGACTGGATGGAGAATCCTATAGTGAAAAAAGAATCCAAGAATCACAAGTCGGAGAAGAATGATCAATCTGTACGGGTTTATTTTGCTTGAAGGAATTGGTAACTTCCTCGAAAGCGGCTGCCTGCCTTCATCCATCCTATAAAAAAGAATGAGAAGGTTCATCAGTCAAAGAAAAGGCAGTGCATAAATAATGGAAGAGGATATCCATTTCTTTTCATAAATAATTTGTTTGTTAGATGGCTTCTAGACTAGACAACTGCAACTGGTTTTGTTTTTAATAGATAAGCATGAGCAAAATAACACATGCCCAGCTGTGTCTCTTAGTAGACTTGGACTCTCAACCCCCTTTTGGAAAGAAAGAGGACAAACCACTCAACTCAACGCTTTGTTGGTCCATTAATCTATGGCTTGTAGGCATGCAAACAGGGTATACTGCAATTCGAATTTCAGGATTACACAAGACAGCTCCTTCAAGTTTGTTACGATGTATATAAGGTTCTGCACACATATACACATGCTTTGTGTAAGTTGTGGGGGGTGGGGTGGGGAGTCATGCAAATATGATGCTAATAAAACAGTACGTGTAATGGGCATAAGTGCATGACAAGAATGAAATTTGTATTGGTAATCGCAAGAGCAATAGTTGCTACACAATCAACATGATTGTGTAGCATATTTTTATTGTGAGTACCAATATACATTTCACTTTTGGTAACTCGTCATGCATTCATGCCAACGTCACGTACTACTAGTACTTTTTAACATCATGCCCGGTATCTATTTCACTCGACCACTAAGACATTTCCATGACTCCCCACCCCAACCTCAACGGGCCCAACCCACAGCAACTTATACAGAGCATATATATAATAGGCTAACTTGGCATTAACTTGTACCACCACCTTCCACAATAACTTGTACCAACGTAGTTCGCATACTTGGCATGTGCCAACCCCACTAATGTAGGTAAGTTAATAACCACAAGTTACAAGAAGTTAAAACACCAACGATATGGTACTAGTAAAAGAACATATATATATAGAAAGAAAGAAATGACCTACGTAGGTAAATCGGGATCATCCAAAACATCTCCATCATTGTTCCCACCACCATTTTCTCCTTGGTGCTTAACCATTTGAAGTTTATCACCCTGCCTTTTTTTCCACTCCTCCATTCGGTCCTTCCATGCAACACTACCATACCCATATACTGCTAAGTCTTTCTTAGGATCCATTGGCCTAGGTGGCACTGCAAAATCAACACCATCAAGTTCACTATGTGAAAAAACATGTAAAATGTTCACAAAATATTTACTCTGCAGAATCAGTAAACTTACATGACATTGAGGAATCAGGATATGGCACAGGATGCACTCGCTTCCCGCAACCCATGAACGGAGGAATTATAAGAGCATGCTTGTCGGAAGAAATGCCAGCATCCTTCATCAGAGAATATACAACCATCAAAATTTGTCATATATTGATCCCAAACCTCAACAAAGAAAGAGCAAAAACTAAGGGAATCTTAATCGATTTACATTCACCTCTTCGCCATAGGTCAGAAGAGGGATATCTGGACTGATGGAAGAGGAATCCATCTCCGATGGCGTAGTAACCCTGGAAGCACTGACTTGGGCGCCACGGCCAGTATTAAGGCGAGAAGTGAGCACCGCCTCCATGATATGTTGAGGTTCCCTCTGGTCAAATTCATTGTCCAAATCATCAAATTCATCCTCTTCTTCATCACCTTCAACTCTGGGACTCCCTAAATATTTGGGTGGATATTCTTTTATAATCTTACCAAAATTGAATAGTGTACTGGTGAGTAACCAAGTCAACATGACGTTGGCAAGAGCATTACCTTTGATGCGCTTGTATCTAGTTTTGCATTGAGGGCAAGCCTGATTGCCCTCTCTTCTTTCATACTCATAGCAAGGTCTGCAAACAGGGAATGCGCATTCGTTGCAGGCAACAAAAGGCTCCCCATCCGCTGTAATTTCGATCTCATCTCCACAAATCTGGCAAATCTGCCCACTCAATTCCTTTACAGATGTAACCTGTCATACACAAACAATTGGCCATATATAAATCAGCATTAAATCACAAAAAGTTTTAAGATTATAAAAAAAAATAAATAAAAAATAAAATAAAAAAACCCAACTCAAGACTGAAGCAATGGTGATTTTGACTGGATCTGAAATACAGAAACTAAGAACACAAAAGGCACCATTTTTGCGAAAGCCGTCCATAGTGAATCTAGGGCACATTAAGCAAACAAATAATTAAGAGAAATCGGTTTGCTCTGTTCTGTTTGGGTAGATAGATAACTGACTGAGAAGAAGGAGCACGAACGAGTGAGAAATTTCATAAAAGAGCATCCTAAATTAAAAGGAAATATGCATCATTAACTTAAACCCATGATTAAGTTTAGATTTATCACTGCTCAATAAGGTGATAAAATCAAACAAATAAACCCACCAAAAATATCCCAAAATAAGGACTTTCTATATTAAAATCAAACAAGCATCAGAGAAACTGAAAATGAGCGGATGGGTCTGTTCAAAATCCACAAATGAAGACAAGAAAAACTTAAAAATCACATTTTGAGGTCATTCATTCCTCCAATAGCTCCAAAACCTAAAAAATGGAGTTAAAAAGTAGTTCAGAGTTAAAGAGATGATAGCTACAAAAAATATATATGTACAAATTGAGATTTTGAGGGCACTTACTCGTCCAATCTCATCAGCATTGATTAGAACAAACTCATTTCTGTTGTGTGAACCCGCAACGAGTCGTCCTTTGGTATCCATCAAACCCCAATACAATTAATCACTCACTCTCACAGACACAAACAAACCCTCCAAAATAATTAAGAGAGAGAGACCCACGTCTCAGTATCACACGAATCACTCGAAACCCATCAAGAAGAAGAAAAGCACAGCCTTTTCTCTTCTTTAGCAAACACTCTTAAAAGCCCATCACAAGAAGAACCAACCCCACATAAAAGAATGACCAAAAGCGATATATATGTAACGTAATATAATATGAGAAAATGTATAGTAGTTATATCAGTAGAGTCCTTTTTCTGGTAATTTGATTCCCTCCTTGAGAGAAACTCAGCTTGGAAAGAGGGTTGGGTCTCTGTTAAACTGGTGTGGTGTGGATCAATGGGTTTTCAGAGAATCAATGTGACTGGGGTAGAGGGGAGATCAACAAAGACAAGAACGAGTTTTTTAGAGAGAGAGAGTCTATGATGATGGAGGGCGTTGAATTTCTACGCGTAATGCAGAAGGGACATACCGAGATGGTTTGATGGATCAGAAAACGGGTGGGTTTTTGGAGTGGGCCCAAATCTGTGGTGGTGGTGGTGGGCCCACCGGAGCTGCTGGTGTGGTGTTGAAAGAAGGGTAGTTTCGTAAATACAGTGTCGATGATTGTGACGTTTCTGGCCCTGGGCTGTCTCTCACGGTTGAGTGAGCTGTATATTATATATTGTCAAATGAAAGAGAGAGAAAGACATATAAATATAAAATATACGTGTTACCGTAATATGTAAGGGACTAGAGAGAGAGAACTGAGGAGAGAGACTAACAAACAGGAAAGAAGAAGGCAAATGGCTTATGCTCAAGACTGTCACGTGCGGCTCGTGAGGAACGGGTCTAAGAAGAAGTGCCATTTCGGGCTCAAAAAAAAAAAAGAAAAAAAAGAAAGTTGAAATAAGCTGCCGCCCCCGCTCACTTTCCCCTTCTTCCCTTTTGCTTTTGTTATTTCCCTCCTTCCTTTTTCATTTTAATCCAAACCCTTATTCCTCTCTCTTTGTTCCATCAAAAAAACATATTGCTTTTGAATTTCTTTTTTATTGGAAACCCTAATTCCTCTCTCCTCTATTCTTACTTTTTTATAATCTTTTTTGAATCAAAACCCAGATTGCAGTGTGCTGATTTCTCAATGCAATGTCAACTATTCATCTACAGAAAGGAAATCTACAATGGACCTGATGTGGTATTTACAATTGACTTAATTAATGCTTGATTGTTGGTAAGTCTTATTAATATTGTGCATTTAATATATTGTTCATTTACAGTGAAATTTTTGTTTTGAACGCAATAATGTAGATTTAGAAAATTTATGATTCTTTCATTTGTCATCGATCTGTCATTGTAATGAATGTAAAATCTTCCATAATTGATTTTTAGAACTGAATTGGCTTCAGTAGGTATGAATGTGTTATCAAAAAAAATTGGTATTAAATGCATGCAGCAATTAGACATTTCAGAGGTTAATATTTGATATTTATGAGAGAAAAAAATTGCGAAGTTTAACAAATAGGAATTCTGATCACCTTCACCATCAAAATAAGCTATTCACACAGTACGAACTAACTTATGTCACACATAAACTTAAGAATTTATGATTATTTTATTTGTCATCTGTTAGTGTAAACTATGATATTTTTTAGTTGAAATTGACATTGGTTAAGCATTATAGTGAATCTGAAATCTTAGATAATTGTAGGGTTTTCTTCTATAATCATAAATAAGCATTCTAGTGAATGTAAAATCTTCCATAATTTTAATAAATAGGGACACTGATCACCTTCACCTTCAAATTAAGTTATTCACACAGTTCTGCAAAACTAATTTCACACCTCTGTAAAACTAATTTCACACCTAATTTTAACATTTTTTAATACTTTCATTAGTCATCCATTAGTGTAAATTATGATATTTTTTTAATTGAAATTGACATTGGTTAAGCATTCCAGTATATTTGAAATCTTGGATAATTGTAGGATTTACTTCTATAATCTTCAATAACCATTCTAGTGAATGTAAAATCTTCCATAATTGTTTTTTTTAACTGAGTTGGCTTCATTTGGTACCAATGTGTTATCCAAATATTTTGTCTTCTCATGTATGCGGCAATTACATATTTCACAGGTTATTATGTGATATTTATGAGGAAAAAAACATTATGAAGTTTAATAAGTAGGGACACTGATCACCTTCACCATCAAAATAAGCTATTTACACAGTTCTGAAAAACTAATTTCACACCTATGCAAAACTAATTTCACACCTAAATTTAACATTTTTTAATTCTTTCATTTGTTATCTGTTAGTGTAAATTATGATATTTTTCTACTTGAAATAAACATTGGTTAAGCATTCTAGCGTATTTGAAATCTTTGATAATTGTAGAATTTTCTTCTATAATCTTCGATAACCATTCTAGTGAATGTAAAATCTTACATAATTGTTTTTTTTTTTAACTGAGTTGGCTTCATTAGGTACCAATGTATTATCCAAATATTGTCTTCTCATGTATGCGGCAATTACGCATTTCACAGGTTATTATGTGATATTTATGAGGAAAAAAACATTGTGAAGTTTAATAAGTAGGAACATTGATCACCTTCACTATCAAAATAAGCTATTCACACAGTTCTACTAAACTAATTTCACACCTCTACAAAACTAATTTCACACCTAAATTTAACATTTTTTAATTCTTTCATTTGTCATCCGTTAGTGTAAATTATGATATTTTTTTACTTGAAATTGGCATTGGTTAAGCATTATAGTGTACTTGAAATCTTGGATAATTGTAGGATTTTCTTCTATAATCTTCAATAACCATTCTAGTGAATGTAAAATCTTCCATAATTATTTTTTTTTTAACTGAGTTGGCTTCATTAGGTACCAATGTGTTATCCAAATATTTTGTCTTCTCATGTATGCGGCAATTACGCATTTCACAAGTTATTATGTGATATTTATGAGGAAAAAAACATTGTGAAAACACTGATCACCTTCACCATCAAAATAAGCTATTGACACAGTTCTGTAAAACTAATTTCACACCTCTATAAAACTAATTTGACACCTAAATTTAACATTTTTTAATTCTTTCATTTGTCATCTGTTAGTGTAAATTCTGATATTTTTCTACTTGAAATTGACATTGGTTAAACATTCTAGCATATTTGAAATGTTGGATAATTGTAGAATTTTTTTCTATAATCTTCAATAACCATTCTAGTGAATGTAAAATCTTACATAATTATTTTTTTTAACTGAGTTGGCTTCATTAGGTACCAATTTGTTATCCAAATATTTTTTCTTCTCATGTATGCGGCAATTACACATTTCACAGGTTATTATGTGATATTTATGAGAAAAAATACATTGTAAAATTTAATAAGTAGGGACACTGATTACCTTCACCATCAAAATAAGCTATTTACACAGTTCTACTAAACTAATTTCACACTTCTGCAAAACTAATATCACACCTAAATTTAACATTTTTTAATTCTTTCATTTGTCATCCGTTAGTGTAAATTATGATTTTTTTTTTACTTGAAATTGACATTGGTTAAGCATTCTAGCGTATTTGAAATCTTGGATAATTGTAAGATTTTCTTCAATAATCTTTAATAACCATTCTAGTGAATGTAAAATCTTCCGTAATTGTTTTTTTTTTTTTTTTAACTGAGTTGGATTTATTACGTACCAATGTATTATCCAAATATTTTGTCTTCTCATGTATGCGACAATTACGTATTTCACAGGTTATTATGTGATATTTATGAGGAAAAAAACATTGTAAAGTCTAATAAGTAAGGACACTGATCACCTTTACCATCAAAATAAGCTATTCACACAGTTTTGCAAAACTAATTTCACACCTCTGCAAAACTAATTTCACACCTAAATTTAACATTTTTTAATTCTTTCATTTGTCATCTGTTAGTGTAAATTTTGATATTTTTTTACTTGAAATTGACATTAGTTAAGCATTCTAGCTTATTTAAAATCTTCGATAATTGTAGGATTTTCTTCTATAATCTTCAATAACCATTCTAGTGAATGTAAAATCTTGCATAATTGTTTTTTTTTTTAACTGAGTTAGCTTCATTAGGTACCAATGTGTTATCCAAATATTTTGTCTTCTCATGTATGCGGCAATGACACATTTCACAGGTTATTATATTACATTTCTGAGAAAAAATACATTGTGAAGTTTAATAAGTAGGGACACTGATCACCTTCACCATCAAAATAAACTATTTACACAGCTCTGCAAAACTAATTTCACACCTAAATTAAACATTTTTTAATTCTTTCATTTGTCATCCGTTAGTGTAAATTATGATTTTTTTTACTTGAAATTGACATTAGTTAAGCATTCTAGCGTATTTGAAATCTTGGTTAATTGTAGGATTTTCTTCTATAATCTTCAATAACCATTCTAGTGAATGTAAAATCTTCCATAATTGTTTTTTTTTTTAACTGAGTTGGCTTCATTAGATACCAATGTGTTATCCAAATATTTTGTCATCTCATGTATGCGGCAATTACACATTTCACATGTTATTATGTCACATTTATGTGAAAAAATACATTGTGAAGTTTAATAAGTAGGGACACTGATCACCTTCACCATCAAAATAAGCTATTTACACAGTTCTGAAAAACTAATTTCACACCTATGCAAAACTAATTTCACACCTAAATTTAACATTTTTTAATTCTTTCATTTGTCATCTGTTAGTGTAAATTATGATATTTTTTTACTTGAAATTAACATTGGTTAAGCATTCTAGCATATTTGAAATCTTGGATAATTGTAGGATTTTCTTCTATAATCTTCGATAACCATTTTAGTGAATGTAAAATCTTTCATAATTGTTTTTTTAACTGAGTTGGCTTCATTAGGTACCAATGTGTTATCCAAATATTGTCTTCTCATGTTTGCGGTAATTACGCATTTCACAGGTTATTATGTGATATTTATGAGGGAAAAAACATTGTGAAGTTTAATAAGTAGGTACACTGATCACCTTCACCATCAACATAAGCTATTCACATAGTTCTACTAAACTAATTTCACACCTCTGCAAAACTAATTTCACACCTAAATTTAACATTTTTTAATTCTTTCATTTGTCATCCGTTAGTGTAAATTATGATATTTTTTTTACTTGAAATTGACATTGGTTAAGCATTATAGCGTACTTGAAATCTTGGATAATTATAGGATTTTCTTCTATAATCTTCAATAACCATTCTAGTGAATGTAAAATCTTCCATAATTATTTTTTTTTAACTGAGTTGGCTTCATTAGATACCAATGTGTTATCCAAATATTTTGTCTTCTCATGTATGTAGCAATTACACATTTCACAGGTTATTATGTCACATTTATGAGAAAAAATACATTGTGAAGTTTAATAAGTAAGGACACTGATCACCTTCACCATCAAAATAAGCTATTCACATAGTTCTAAAAAACTAATTTCACACCTTTGCCAAACTAATTTCACACCTAAATTTAACATTTTTAAATTCTTTCATTTGTCATCCGTTAGTGTAAATTATGATTTTTTTTTTACTTGAAATTGACATTAGTTAAGCATTCTAGAGTATTTGAAATCTTGGTTAATTGTCGAATTTTCTTCTATAATCTTCAATAACCATTCTAGTGAATGTAAAATCTTCCCTAATTGTTTTTTTTTAACTGAGTTGGCTTCATTAGATACCAATGTGTTATCCAAATATTTTGTCTTCTCATGTATGCGGCAATTACACATTTCACAGGTTATTATGTCACATTTATGAGAAAAAATACATTGTGAAGTTTAATAAGTAGGGACACTGATCACCTTCACCATAAAATTAAGCTATTCACACAGTTCTAAAAAACTAATTTCACACATCTGTAAAACTAATTTCACACATCTGTAAAACTAATTTCACACCTAAATTTAACAATTTTGAATTCTTTCATTTGTCATCCGTTAGTGTAAATTATGATTTTTTTTATTTGAAATTGGCATTGGTTAAGCATTCTAGCGTATTTGAAATCTTGGATAATTATAGGATTTTCTTCTATAATCTTCAATAACCATTCTAGTGAATGTAAAATCTTACATAATTGTTTTTTTAACTGAGTTGGCTTCATTAGGTACCAATGTGTTATCCAAATATTTTGTCTTCTCATGTATGCAGCAATTACACATTTCACAGGTTATTATGTTACATTTCTGAGAAAAAATACATTGTGAAGTTTGATAAGTAGGGACACTGATCACGTTCACCATCAAAATAAACTATTTACACAGTTCTGCAAAACTAATTTCACACCTAAATTTAACATTTTTTTATTCTTTCATTTGTCATCCGTTAGTGTAAATTATGATTTTTTTTACTTGAAATTGGCATTGGTTAAGCATTCTAGGACATTTGAAATCCTGGATAATTGTAGGATTTTCTTCTATAATATTCAATAACTATTCTAGTGAATGTAAAATCTTCCATAATTGTTTTTTTTTTTAACTGAGTCGGCTTCATTAGGTACCAATGTGTTATCCAAATATTTTGTGTTCTCATGTATGAGGCAATTACGCATTTCACAGGTTATTATGTGATATTTATGAGGAAAAGAACATTGTAAAGTTTAATAAGTAGGGACACTGATCACCTTCACCATCAAAATAAGCAATTAACACAGTTCTGCAAACTAATTTCACACCTTTGCAAAACTAATTTCATACCTAAAGTTAAATTTTTTTAATTCTTTCATTTGTCATCAGTTTGTTTAAATTATGATATTTTTTTTACTTGAAATTGACTTTGGTTAAGCATTCTAGTGTATCTGAAATCTTGAATAATTGTACGATTTTTTAGGCCTTTTCATTAGTTCGGTAAATATTTAGTATATATTTTTTTTGTCATAAGTTATAGAAACTGACTTTAACGTTTTGATGGACCTTTTGCTTATTGTAGCATTCATACTGAAGTTATCCCAATGGATAATGACTTAAGTATTAATGATGTGAGAACAAGCATTCCAATCGTTGCCGAAATCAATATTTCTCAAAACTTAGTAGCAGAAGTTGTCAATACTGTTAAAAATTTTAGTGATGATGTATGATAAGATTGCCTATTCATTTACATGTCTTTTTGATATATTCTTGAATGTGATGTTAGGTAAAGCACCATAAACGATTCTTACTGACCAATATGGTGCAATGGCAAAGGCGTTGGCACAAGTTATGCCGAGGACAAGACATTTACTTTGCACGTGGCACATCATGGCAAGTGCACAGAAGCATGTAGGCACCATTTTTAGGAATGATGAAGGGATTAAAAGTGTGCTGAGTCAATTCATGTACTATTATGATGATGGGGATGATTTTTGTATACAATGGGATGTAATGTTAAGGGACTACAATGTTGTTGGTAACACATGGTTGAACAATTTGTTTGGTTTAAGAGAAAAATGGGGTTATCCATTTGTTAAACATTGGTTTACCGCTGGAATGCGGACAACGCAGCTGAGTGAAAGTTTAAATAGCTGCTTGAAAGAGTACTTAACCAGGAAAATGAGTATTCCAGATTTCTTCATGCACCTTGATAGGCTATTGTCAGACAAACGGTACAAGGAATATCAAGCTGAGTATGGTTTACTCAGTAAACTACCTAGACTTAAACAAAATTGTCCCATTCTAAAACAAGTGGGCAATATGTACACATTGAAGATTTTTGAACTTTTCCAGGACCAATTCATAGAAGCTTGTGTGGTTGCTACCGTGGAAGGAACAAGTTTTGATGAAAATGGATTACGTGTTTCTAGAGTATCTGTTCATGATGGCAGTGTGGATCGGACTGTGACAAGGTGGGATGATGGCTTTCTAAGTTGTTCGTGCGGGAAATATGTAATGGAAGGTATTTTGTGTAGCCATGTACTTAAAGTACTGAAAGACGACACTCAGTATTTCAAAGAATTACCTTCTATGTATATACTAAAAAGGTGGACGAGAAAAGCTAGGGATAACAGCGTACAAGACATCCGTGGATGTGAAGTTATTGCTGATCCTAAACTTGAAGTACGCAGAAGGTATAGGATGTTATGTCGTTTTTTTACAGAAATCAGCTCATTTGCATCCCAGAAAGAAGAGGTATTCAATAATTTGATGCTAAAGAGGATGAAATGGAAAAGGAAACACATTAATGTTGAAAGGCAATGTTTCGATGTTGAACAAGAGGCAACCAATTCAGCCTTTTCAACTGAAAGAAGTAATAATTATGAACATAATGAAAGTATCATTGGGCAAGCCGTGACCGGAAGTAATGCCAAGGGTATAAAGAATAAAGAAACAGGTGGTAAGGGACCAAGGCGCAGGAGGAAGAATAAGTTTGAACAATACATGCAGAGAAAAAAAAACTATGCGAAACGAAATGTTAATTTAATTTATTTTTTATTATTTGATAATTTAATTTTCCAGTATATGTCATTAATATTTTGATATTAGCAACGTCATAATTTTGTTTTTACAATGAATAAATCTATTATTTTGTAGAAATCAAATGGCAACAACAGTGTTAGTGCAGGTGTAGGTGGCAGTAGTACCGTGCCACCTATTACATATGTACGTCCGAATGTGAGTTTTCTCCTTTTCTTAAATGAAAACATTGATTTTTTATTTTTTATATATTATTATAATTTTCAGTATGATAATCTCTTAATTAAGAATGTTTATATTGAAATAAGGGTTGTGACATTCCTAGCGACGCCACTTGGATTTACGAAGATCATCACCCATGTGCACGTTTACATTCGAAAACAAATATCGACCAAATGACATATTGCCCTACCACTAACTTCAGTCATCCCAGGACTCCACCAACTAAACAGGTATAAACAAACTTTTATTCTGAACTAGGTATATAAAAATTAATGAACATTATTTCATATTTTTGAAATCCATTAGTTAATGAACATTGAGAATATAATGGCAGGGGACTCCATTTGTTTCGTATCATGAATGCCGATTCTCAGATTATCTTGTAAGTTTATCTCTTATAAAATTTATGCTTCTGCAATATATTCTAAACATGTATATTTTAACTTTGCATTAATTAACGTATGTACAAATATTGTTTTTGTATGATCCATTTTAAGGATGTTGATCACACCAGTGGTGATCGTAATTTGATGCCAATGTCGGAGGAGACAACATTCGAGATCAATCCTCCAGCTCAGCAAAATTTGTTTTGAGTTAAGAAATTCTTGACAAATTGATGGTGTATAGGTATATTATGGTTGATGGATGATAACAGAATATGGTGGCATAAAAAATATATTCATTTTTGAGTAAAGATTTGTAAATGTATGGATAACTTATTCACTTTTGTTTTTTGGGTTTTGTATATATGGAAAATGAAATGAATTTTTATTCAGGCCTACTTATGTCAATTGAAATATGTATGTGTACATATATTGTTTAGTCCATTTTGTTTGTGATTTGGGACAGGTTGAAACCATTAATTTCAAGGTGACATGGTTCCGTGAATGGCATCTGGCTATTTTCTCCAATGATTGCGATACTTAATTGCCTCTTGCATATGGCAATTTTATGTTAGACAGTGCTAATTAGATTATCCATCCCAAAAGTTCCATTTTGTTACTTCAAAAGTTAAATACAATATCACACTACATACATCACATTACATACATACACATATATCACATTACATACAGAAAACGACATCAACGGTTGTCATCAGTTGACTATGACTTTTTCTCCAATGATGCCAGACACCATCAATATGTGGAGATCGCAATGGCAAAGATTACATTTTATTTTTTCCTCATTTATTCGCTCGACCATCCACCATTTGACGTGAACCATGTCACCTTCATAGTTCGGTGGTCCATAATCTTCCTCACAACAAGCAGGAATGTTATGAAATAACCCATTTGACCACCCTCTTTTCACTATTGAAATCATTTATTCCCTCCGATGTTTTATGATCAGTTTATTTGTTATGTCTGTGTTCATATTCAAAAGTTGTAGAATACCATTTACTTTATCAGCATCATTGCCATATATTAATGTAATGGCTAAAGCAAACTTACAACCAGTATGCTGAAGATATGCACCTTTGGTTAGAATACTTAGCCCATCTGCCCGATTTTGATGGAAGAAAAATAGCTCCTACATCCAACATAAAGTTCTTAAAAATAAACCCGATTAAATTACTTTCACAATTTAGTAAAGTGAGTGCAAGCAACGTACCACTCCGGAGACAAACATAGCCTCCAAATTGCCATCATCAACACTTTTGCATGAACACGCATCGCAAATAGTAAGTATCACTGGTACCCCCCGTTTGTATTTCGTACAAGGATTTAAAACTGAGAAGTCGTAACATATGTGGCTCCAAACACACCATAGCTAGCTTATGAGAACTGCACATATTTAAACACTTTTAACAAAAAATTTCGTGAATGAAAAAAATATTATAAACATAAAACAATAATGTACAATTAAATCCTTACCATTGTTGAAGTTGTAGTAGGTCTTGAAAATTATTTGTTGCCACTCTACTAACCACCTCACTGAGCAACGGCGGTGGGAGTTCTTCTATTTTCATTTTTAGACTACTTGTTTTGTGTATGCTGGTTACCTTTTGGGGGAAGGTTAACCATTGGTTTACCAGAAAGGGAAGAACTTATGGTGGATATATAGTCAATATGCATAGCCAATTAATGTGGTAGGTTAGGATTAGTTGAACACGAAATTGTGTAATAACTCACAACATTAGCTGTAAATGTATAATTAAATGCACTGCTTGTTTGATATGACTAAGTATATCTACAACTCCTCTATTATATATAGATATTTGGTTGAACCGGCAAATCTCCTCTAAGTACATTCACCATCTCAACTAAGTATTCACATCCTGTTATTTAAGTAATAGCACATATGAAATTATCTGAATTCACCATACTGTTTTTCTGATTTGAAGTGAATATAGAGAAAATAATATGTGTGTGTGTGGGCGCGTGTGTGTGTATTAATAAGAAAGCATAAAAAAAATTAAATTTTTTTTTTTAAAAAAATACAATTTTCACCTTCATAATTAAGTATTCACACCCTGCTATATAAGTAATATCACATACAAAACTATATAAATTAGCCAAACCCTAGAAGGAGCCGGCTCTTGTAAACAAGAGGAGGCGGCTCCCTAGCCTTGAGAGCCGGCTCTCCTTTTTGGGAGCCTGCTCTTTGGATGGAAACTTCATTTCGTTGAAAAAAGCTTTTAGAGCCGTCTCTAATTGAAATGGAGCCTGCTCTAATTTTCTGAGCCTTCTCTAGAAATCTAGAGCCTTCTCTACTTTCGTAGAGCCTTCTCTACTTTCCCTTGAGCCTTCTCTAATTTTTGTAAAGCCTTCTCTACTTTCAGTAGGAGGCTTAAAATGAATTCCAGTATGATGTAAGGCTCATATGAATGTGTTTAAAAACCTAATGAGCTAATTTTATGTTCTTTGAGAGATGAGATGAGAATGATATGTATGAATCAATATGCATCTATCAAGATACTTAAAAAAGCAATAGAATAGCACATTAGCATGATAACACATCTTTCTCCCCCTTTGTCATCTCAAAAAAAATGGGAGACTAAATTAATAGATAAAGAAAAATAACTTGCCATTTCAGGAAATATCAGAGAAGAATGAATTAAAGGGCAAAAGATAAGCAAATATGACAATTTATAGATAACAGAAAGAGACTGTGAACACGAGTACCATATGACAGATAAAGGCATAGTTTATAAAACACAGAAAAATGCTTCTCTAAAGCAAATAAAGCTAATAAGTGCACACAAAAGAGGGTTTGAAATGGAGAAAAATTGTCTAAAGGAGAAGAAGGTCCATATTGGTTTCGAAATTCTGTAAAATCGTCATTAAGATGAGCGATTGCCATGTGCATTTTGTCAAGTTGAGTTTGTTGTTTCTCAAGAGTGGCTTGGTTTTGACGAGTCCCTTTGAGAATTTCCAACAAGAGAGCACGATTGGTACGATTTTCAACTGGAACTTCCTCATTTTCATCATCGTCATCACTTTCATGGTCGTCTTCATCCCTATCATCAACATCCTCAATCTCTTCTTCTCTAGCTCGAGCCTCTTCCAACCTTCGTTACCTAGGATAAAACCACACATTATTGTAATCCCTTTTTAGCCCCATTGACGCAAGATTGGAGGCAGTGAGAATGTGTCTTGGCCTTGGTTTCAAGCATGGCAGAGGGTAGAGTGTGTTTCAGACCTCACTAGTAGGTATTTATTTATTTAATTTGATACGCCAATATTAACTGTGAACTACTCAAAAACACCATAGTGGGTGCAACCATTTACTTGCAAAGCATATAAAAATAATAAAATATATGCTCTGATAAGTTTAGATTTCCTAAATGAATCAACCAAATAAACATGTTGAGATATGAAAAGTAGTTTAAAGATTAACCAGATTCAGTATATGAATACAGAGCCCAACTTTTTACAAAACTACCTTGTACCCAAATTTATACAAAACTAACATGTACAAAACATTCACATAACAGCCCCATACAAGCCTGAATCGTTACAAGGTATGACAAAAATAAAACGGAGTAACTTTTATTACAAAAGGCATTCCATTGACAAAAATTAAACCTTAACATAGCACCAGTTTCATCACCACCTAAAATTAAAGCTTGCAACCTGGTGCAAATTTAACTTTTCTCCCATGCTTGGCACTGTTGTTCAAAATCTCTTGCCTACATTCGTCTAAAGGATCGGTCAAAAGTTGCAGTGCCATTTCTATACGGATCACAGTAGAGTCCGTCTGTACCGTTACATAGAAGTAACATACTGTTAGGAAAAAATATATATTATGTTTAAACCACTGTAAAATAGAAAAATATTTCACAATGACATTATACTAACATTGAAGCTTCCCAACATTCTTCTGCCATCCCATAACTCCATGAACCTCATAAGAAAAAGTCCACATGAATGTCTGAACAATAATTAAAAATTGTATAAGAGAGCTACTGAGGAAGTTCATGTCAAACATACAAGTAATAAGTTAAATAACAAAAAGATTTCAAAAGTATAAAGTCAAACATACGGGTCAGGCTGCACAGGTAAAACTTGATGCTTTATGATATCATAAAAATCCAATTTTTCTCCTAGTGCAATGTCAAGAAAATCTTTCTGCAATACAAAAACAAAATTACTAACAATATGACATATCAAATTAAAAAATGAAATGAATTAGAATAAAAGAGTTGTATACCACCAATAAACCATAATTTGTGTGCCTAAAACCAAGTCTTCTGCTACATATGTAATGAATAAGCTTATCTGGACGGTGAATGACAAACAAGAACCAATGATTACTGACGCATGCAGGGAAATAGAACTGTTAAACACATGACATATATTAGTAGTGGAATATTGTCACAACCAGAAACCATAGGCAGAAGACATGGATTGTTAAAGAAAATAACATACCAACTCAGATTTATGAAAGTCGCTGGTCTTTGTTTTTAATTTTCTGCAGTATTTGTCCCAGGCGCTCACCAAGCGTTTCCTGCGCTCCTCCTTATTACTTACAAACTCCACATTCTCATCCCTGATGCAACTTACCGCAAAACTGGAAAAATAGTACTTCATTTTCTTCTCATCCTGTTTTTTGTTTAGAAGCGTCGAATAACAATCAATTACCTATAAGAAAGGAAAATCATATGTTAAGGACAAAAAAAAAAAAAAAAAAAAAAAAAAAAAAAAAAAAAAAAAAAAAAAAAAAAACAACCAAATTTAACATGGACTAAAAATATGAATGGGGTTAATATTCATGTAATCCACTCACAACATTTGCCACCCACTCATCACCGAACATCGTAAGAACATCAGCCCGATTTAGTTGTGCAGCATTAATACTTACCAAAGTTTCACTAACATAACAGAATAAAATAAGTATTTAAAAAACATTGAACATAAGATTAAGCATAAAAAAGGGCATGCCTAGAATCTGTCATATCCATTACTTACGTTTTGTCACGGTCAGGGGCTCTGACATATTTCAACAACATTTTGTCATCAGTACTAAGTCTAATTTTTTTCTTAGACTCTGTTTGGTCCCAGGGAGAGTGTGCATATCGTGACCTACCTCGTCGACGACCACTAACAATTTCTTTGGGGACATAATCATCAACTCCTGTCATGTATAA